GAGAGATACACAAAATTAATCAGATGTTTATTGCCAGATCTGTACTTTTGTTTTAATTTTGTTAGGAAAATACATTACTTCAAACCTTCCAAAAGCACAAAACACTCTTTTCTAACTGAACAGTACTTAATCAAAACAGAAGATATCTACAACAAGACAGCTTAGGACATTCCCATTAGGAAATGCAAACTCTATCATGCTATGAGACAAACTTGGAACTAGGCAAGGGAGCATGGGAAAGAGGGATGTGGAATGGCAGAACCAGCACGCACAGCCTAAAAAATACATCAATTAACATGAAATAAAGGAAAAGCGTGTCTGTATGTGGTAGCAGTTAACAAGAAGGTGTATTTAAGCCTCTGACCTCACCTATTACCATCAAGACAAGGCACTCAGCTAACACCAAGATTTCTGCTTACAAACCACAAAACTGGAGCTGTGAGGCGCTGAAAACATCAGCAAAATGCAAAGCATAGAAGGGCACTCATCTTCCAAACTCATAAAAGCAACTCCGTCACCAAAGACACTGACTGAAAAGCCATGTATATTACACTACTAAACAAAACTCCTTAATTTATCAGTTTGAATTTATGAACTTGAATTAGTACAGAGGAGAGGCGACTCAATTTACAACCTAACTTGCCCTTAAAACCAAGGCTCACCAAACTGAATTCCAGAACCCAACGCTGTTGATTTCACAGAGTCAATGAACACCTTAGATTGGAAGCAACCTCAAAATCACCCAGATCCACCCCTGCTGCTATGGGTGAGGCTGTCAACCACTGTATCAGACACTAGATCAGGCTGCTCAGTGACTTAGTGAAATCAACATCACCATAAATAGATTCAATTGCTTTCAACATCCTTCCTCTTCTTCCTTTCCTCCCATAAAGACCCACCTACGTATGCCAAGCTGCAAGAAAATTATTTATAGATTTCCAGCTCATTTAAGCAGAGACTTCAGCTTTCCTTCCCCTTCCTCATGTCACTTCAGACCTTCTCACTCACCTGCTTTGTCTGAAGGTACCAAACACCTGCCCTTGGCAGGGAATGAAGACTACAAGATGCAGCTCAGGTTGCACCATGCCCTAGCTTCACAGGGCTACGTAAAAGTATGCACTCACTTGTAACAAGTCACTTCTGTAAACAACTAAGGCTTGCCCTCCCAGTAAACAGTGACTTCTGAAACTGAAATACAGAATTATGAAATGCTCTTGCTCTTCCAGTAACACGTAAGAGCTTGAAAAACGTTTGGGAAGCTTTTCTTCCATGTTTTGCCCTTATTTTCACTCACCCTATTAGATAAGGCTTAATGCTTTGAATTGAGTTCCTTCTCTCACACTGGCACACCACTACCAAAGCTTTCATTAACTAAAAACAAGTGGAGGTTTTCTTTAAGCCTTGAAATAAAACATTCCCACAGCACCTGTACACCTGTGACTCACCAGCTTTTCCCAAATGCATTTCTCTTCACTCAGCTCTTAAGAGAACACTTAGAAAACCAAATTCCTCACAATGTACCTATGCATTTCTAATTATCTGACAGAACCAAGGACATGAATTAAGTCAATCTGAAACCCAGATGGATTGCTTTGGCTTTAAGCTGCCAAAAACAACCTCTTTTGTAATACACACACACAGAAATGAACATAGCTTGTAACTGTAATGCCATATTACCTGAATGTTTCCAATAAACATAGGGCAGTAAAGAAAGTGAAAGCTTCTCACCACAATCTTGCTGTTCACATCTGTATATGTCCTAACAATAAAGCCAGCGGTCTGAACACCAAACCACGTGGTAAAGAACTGCGAACAGACACGGCAGCCTGGTTGTCCTACTTGCTTGGATTGTTTTTATTCACAAGGGCACAAGTTAAAAAGAATAAAAACTTAAAAAGCAGAGCTGATTGGTCCCTTTTTCCCTCTGCTAATAAAAAGGCTGCAGAAAAAAAAAAAAAGTTCTGCTGAGTCTTCTCACTTCATCTCAAGTATACAAACATCCCATCAACGTTAGCAGGGTTATCTGTTATAAAAATAATCCTCAACAGCAATCGTGGAAAATAAAGCTAGCTCTGCCATCTAGTGGTGCTGTGCTTCAACCTGGCAGCAGCTCAGCACTGCACACCTGCTTGCTCATTCCCCCCAGGTGAGGTGGGGAGGAGAACTGGAAAGGCAAGAACTCATGGGCTGACACAAAGACGGTTCAACAGGTAAAGCAAAAGCTTTTGCTTTTTTTGCACACAAGGCACTCATTCAGTACTTCCCATCTGCAGGTAGGTACCCAGCCTCTTCCAGGAAAGCTGGGCTCATTGCACACAATAGTTTCTTGAAAAGATAAATACCATCACTCCAAACTTACAGCAGAGCAATGCAGTGTATTATTGCTGCACAAAATCCTTTCTCAAGTCATTGCACAGGCATCCTACCATTTAGAAACTCTTCCTTACTAATCATCAGTCTACACTACAGATGTAATACATTATTCAATAAGAAACTAGGAAAAAATAATACTACTTTTCTTATTTAAAGTACCTATGCAGATATTTCCACAAAGAAACAATACATTTATTCATAAATTTCACTAGGTCACAGCACCAATCCTGAACGAATACCACTTGCAACTTCCAATGCTGACACTCTCAGTCCCACAGATGCTTTATACAAGCAGGTTACTACCTACAAACACACTGCTCACAGAATAGTGCCTCCCTCACCTATTATTACATTTCTTAAGTATACAGAGAAATTTACAAATTTTACTCTGAAGCTTACTTGGAAAAGATGACCATGAGCTTCTTCCTGTTTTTCCTGGGTTCTGAGTCTTCCTCAAACTCTTCCATCTCTTTTCCCAGAAAAACTTCTTGATGAAATTCTTTGTTGAGATGTCCATCCATCTCCATTTTGACCCCATTCAGGTGGTCTGGAGGCAAGATCTCATTCTCATCCTTACTGTCAGCTGGCTTCTCTTTGAGGGCCGAATTATTTGCAGGCCTTGCATAAACATCCATCAAAAGAAATACAAACAGAAGGGACAAATACAGAGATCCCAAACTGCAGAGGAAGGCCTGCCTTGACATCATTGTTTCTCCTTTTTATTCAAAATATTGGCTGATTAAATAATCTAAAAACAAAAAGGAAAAAACACACGCAATTTAAAAACTGCATCATGTCATTAATAAAGCTTCTCTGCAAGCTCAGAACAACACATGGAATCACAGAATGGCCCAGGTTGGAAGGGACTCCAAGGATCACAAAACTCCAACCCCCTGCCACATACAGGGCCACCAACCTCCCCATTTCACAGCAGCCCAGGCTGCCCAGGACCCCATCAACCTGGCCTTGAACACCTCCAGGGATGGAAGGGGCATCCACAGCCTCTCTGGGCAGCTGTTCCAGCACCTCACCACTCTCACTGTAAAGAACTTCCCCCTGACATCCAACCTAAATCTTCCCTCTTTCAACCTCCAATGTTTACCCTCCTCCCGCTATTATCTACCCTTTCAAAGAGTTGAAACTCTTTGTTTGTAGGCTCCCTTTAGATACTGAAAAGCTGCAATAAGATCACCCTGCAGCTTTCTTTTCTCCAGGCTGCACAAGCCCAGATCCCTCAGCCAGTCTTTGTAGGGGAGCTGCTCCTGCCCTCAGATCATCTTCGTGGCTCTTCTCTGGTCCCTCTCAAACTGCTCTCTGTCTTTCCTGTACTGGGGACTCCAGACAGGGCCTCACAACAGCAGAAGATGAACAAATATAATGAAAGAATAGATTCTCTGGGGAGAGCTCTGGGCTCACACTGGGGCCCTGGGCAACCTGATCTGGTGGGGGGCAGGGGTTGAAAATGGATGGGTTTTAGGGGTAGTTTCTAATCCAAACCATTTTAAGATTCTGTGAACATGAAGCCTTGTTAAAGGAAACATATACAACAAGAAACTGAACTGCGTCAGATTTCAGCCCGCACGGCTGTAATCTCGATCAGAGGACTTTGGATTGCTAATGGCCTCACTGCTAGCAGCACCAACCCTCAGGTACTCTGGAGGAGCTGATCTGAGAGCTCAGCGCAGAGGCAGCTCGGAGCACGGTGGCCTCAGCATCACCTCTACAGAAAGGCAGAAAGGGCGGAAAGGTGTTTTTTGTGGGAACACAGCGACAAGCGGCCGCAGAGCAGCAGCACGGGGCAGACACGCCTCCCGCCACCTGCCTGCCGCTGAGGGAAAATCGCTGCCACGTACGAGTCCGAAGGCCTCAGAGACAGGGAATAAACCCCACAGCCCCCACACGGACACAGAACCGCGGGGCAGAGCCGGAGGACGGCCAGGACTCGCGCCCTGAGCGGCGACCGTTAAATCTCCTCAGGAGGAGGGCGCTGCCCTAACGCTGCCATGCCTTCAGCACCGTGACAGAGCGGTCCTCTACAGCCTCACCACCCTCCCAACCACCCGTCCCACAGCTCCAGTACCTGTACGGGATGCGACGGCTCCTCATGCCAGGCCCGTCTCCCTCCAGCACAGCAAAAACATACAAGCAAACCCCTGACCCGTTCCCACCCCCCCCCTCCTCAGGAGGTTACAGCCACAGAGAGGCGACCGGGACGAACGACCGCTGCGCCGGAAGTGCGTCACACGCCGTGCGTGAGGGGCGGAGGCCGCCATCTTGGAGCCGGGCGGGAGGAGCGCTGAGGGCGTTTCGGCCGCCATTTCCTCTCCTGGCTCAGACCCCCGCTGCCAGATTTCGAGGGCTCCATAAAGACGGAAGGCAGAACCCTTACTGCTGTGGCATTAAATGTATTTATTCATGTGCTGCTGGTAACTCTTGTGAAACAAGACCGTCGTTTACCCAGCTAACACACCAATGAGCTCCGCCCACCCCCTCAGAGCCCGCCTCAGCGGCCTACGTGGCACGGCGCGCCCTCAACCAAAATGGCGGCTTCAGGGCTTCCCCTGCCCTGTTGCAAGATGGCTGCCGCCGTGCGCCGCCGTGTGTGGGCCGGGGCGGGAGGCGGGGCCGCGCCACACGGCGGCGGCGGGCGGAGCGGCAAGGGCTTCGCGCAGCGGGGCCGCGCCGAAGGCCCGGCAGGTAGGGTGGGCCTGGGCCGGTGCTTCTCTGATTAAAAAAAAGAGGCTGGAAGGTGCCGTGAAGGGCAGGCAAAGCGCGGTGAGGGCTCCCGCAGGAAGCTTGTCCCCTCTCGGAGGCCGTACCCCGCTCAGCTGCTGCCGTTCCCGCCTAAATTTTTTGGTGTGTGTGAGGGGGGAGTCCGGGCCTCGAGGCCTGCAGGCTCCATGAAGCTGCTGCGTCTGCTGTGTCGCCACAAGACGGCCCTGGGTCTGGGCGGCCTGTCGCTCTTCGCTGTGGTCCTGCTCTACCTGGCCAAGTGCACCTCTGAGGGCCTGCGGCCGCTGCCAGCCCCCCGCGGGTTGCCCCACCAGCAGCCCCCTCTGCCATGGGGTGTCAGGGGGCCGCCTGCCATCCCGCCGCCCTCCCCTCCTCAGGAGTCGGCCTTTTTGGCGGTGCTCATCACCAGCGGCCCCAAGTACACCGAGCGCCGCAGCATCATCCGCAGCACCTGGCTGGCAGCGGCCGGCCACCCTCCTCAGCACAACATCTGGAGCCGTTTCGTCATCGGCACAGGTGGGCTGGGGGCTGAGGAGCTGCGGAGCCTGGAGCTGGAACAGAACCGCCATAGGGATCTCCTTCTCCTGCCGGAGCTGAAGGATTCCTACGAGAACTTGACCGCCAAAGTGCTGGCCACGTACGTCTGGTTGGATCTGCACCTTGACTTCCAGTTCGCCCTGAAGGCCGACGATGATACGTTTGTACGTTTGGATGTGCTGGTGGAAGATCTGAGAGCCAAGGAGCCACGTCGCCTCTACTGGGGCTTCTTTTCCGGCCGTGGGCGAGTGAAATCTGGTGGGAAGTGGAAAGAGAGTGCCTGGGTGCTCTGTGACTACTACCTGCCGTATGCCCTAGGTGGAGGTTATGTGCTTTCTGCAGATCTGGTGCACTATTTGCGGCTCAACAAAGACTACCTGAACATGTGGCAGAGCGAGGATGTCTCCCTGGGAGTCTGGCTGGCTCCAATTGATGTCAAAAGAGTGCACGATCCTCGTTTTGACACTGAGTATAAGTCACGGGGTTGCAACAATAAGTACATAGTAACGCATAAGCAAAGCATCGAGGACATGCTGGAAAAGCACCAGACCTTGGCTAAAGAAGGGAAGCTCTGTAAAGAGGAGGTTAAGCTCAGGCTTTCTTACATGTATGACTGGGGAGTGCCACCTTCCCAGTGCTGCCAAAGGAAGGATGGCATCCCCTGAAATTCTGAGGAAGGAAAAGGCAGATTATTACTGGACTCTCTGAGCTGGGTTACTGTTACGTGGAGAGAATCCCAATAACTAGGGCTTAAAAAATTACTCAAAAGATTTTGCACGATTCATTATGTCACAATCAATGAAACCCTGAAATTCCTGAGAGCTACTGCTGTGGCATGATGTAAAGTTGTTTATAGAAGAGAAAGATATGACAAAAACCTGGAAAGGCTCACGTTACAGGATTGAAGGCAAACAGTAGGTTGCGAGATGATAGTACAGAATTCTGGGGGAGGTAACTTGGATCAAAAGCTGCTAGAAGATTTTTAACAGATTCTATGATATATCTGCTAAAGATCATGGCAGGCCTTTACAGTATAAGATTGTGAAACTAACATCTGGTATTTATTTATTGGCAAAAAACAATTGCCAGTTTGGCAAGGTTTGAAAATTCGAACGCGGCTGCAAATTGGTTGCTTTTGCCAGTGGGAACAGGTGTCTGTCACAAGCATTCAAGTAAGGAGAATGATTTTGCACCAGATATTCACGTTAAGGGAGGGAGAGAGTCTGTTCTTTGGAGAGTGCTCTGATTTACAAGAATAGAATTATTAGACCTTTCTATGTAACTTGTCTCTTTTTGTTATTGTTTTAAAGATATCTTGTACATAAATTATCTGGCAGCTACAGAGTAAATCTGTATGTAGAAAGCTGGATGAGTTACATACAGCATTTGGCAGGTAGTGCGTATTATTTGGGGCACATAGTTATGCTACAAAGCTAGCTTTCAGTTGTTAGGTATAGATGGTGTTCTTAGTTTATTGTCCAAACCCAGTACGTCTGAAGCAGCATTCCACCCAAACAGCAAATAATCCTACTGCTGCCCAGTCAGATATTGTAGCCTTCGGATTTATATTATTCTAGAGCACTTGGGTACAACATACATTAGCAGAATTAGGTCAGTGGATGGTATTCAGAAGTCAAAATGAGATTGCCCTAAACTGGCTAGCTCAGATAAGAAAGCAAACTACATATAGTCAAGATTATCCTTTATAGGCTGCTCTGGTCATCATTTAGAGAAAGGGTGTTGTTTTTTCCCCTAATTGCAGCCCTGTCTGAAGACAGCCTTTTCTCTATTTCTGGAGCTGCACAGTGCTCTAAGGAAACAAATTCCCTGACAGTCCCACTCCCTCTTTCTCCCCAGCAGTATCTCCTAGTGGAACAAAAATAATTCTAGTGAAGGTCTAAGTTACTTGCTCAAGTGATATGTCAGTAAATAGGATTATTTCCCTTTGTCCTGTCTGCTCTACAAAGAATTCTAGCCCTGACAGAACTTGTCAGCATCGAGTACAGTACTGAGCAGTAAGCACAGACTGGACTTTCTTGACTTGTAGAACAGATCATTGGACAACTTCACCCTCAAACTTTCAGGCAAGCATGTAATTCTAACATTTTTGATGGCAGCTGCTGTAGTGCACCAATATTTTTTCCAGTAGTGCAGAGCCACTGACTTCCAATAACCTTTGTCAGCAACAGGTCCTTCAGTATGAGCAGTGTTTACTTCTGTGCCTGAATGGCACGTTCCCAACCATCAGTTTTACTGGTTGTTGCACGCTGCACTTTCATACAGTTCCCATGATCTCCTCCTCTCTCGGGGCTAGTGTCTGCTCTCACCTGCAGGAAGGCACAAATTGCAAAGGAAGAAAACAAATCATTGCCAGTATCTTTGGCTTCATTTCTTAAATTAGCAAGTTAGCAATTTGTACCAAAGGAATAGAGGATGTTATTTTGTTATTTTTTTTCCTGTTTTGATTAAATTATTGGGGATTAAGAGAAGTCTTCTGCAAAGGATGATTCTCTAGTAGGAAAATCCGAATGAATCCAACTTCCCTCTGAAACAAACTTAACAAAATAAGATACTGGAAATAAGTTACTTTAGTGTGTGTCCATTCCAATGCATGTCCACGTATTGACAAGCAGATGTGCTTTTCAGCAAGTTGTATCATTCCAAAACAATGATTCAATGCTAAACAAGATTACAGAAAATTTAAATCAGTTCCAGCATTTTATAAATACCTACTTGTTATTTGGGGTTAAGCAGTATTGTGTGTATGTATGTGCTTAAATGCTTGTAATGTGAGTATTTATAAATACTGAGACCATGTTATGTGTAGGAAAAGTAAGGTAGTTAAGTGTCATATTTTAAATTTGTTTACAGAAGTACTTCAGTGTCCATGGGAATCTTGTATCAAGCAGTGCTTGAGATTGTTGGTGTACAGGCTGTTGTTTCAAGTCCTGGGATCTGAAGAGTGGGCCAGAAATCTGCTGCGTGTCTCTGGAGCTGAGGAGAGCGTGCTGCTCAGCACCTCAACCCACGTCCATGTTGGTGGGAGTTGTTTACAGTGCTGGCACTTACTGCCCCTGACAGTTGTGATGGGGGCAGCATTAAAAAAGGAGGAGTGCTGAGTGTCCTTCTGATCTCTGACCATGGAAAACGCGATGCACGCAAATACTTGACAGTTGTGAAGTTCTCTTGGGCAGTTTCTTACATCTTTAGGTAGCTGGAGATGATCTGATACTTGAACAACCACAGTGTAACTGTTGTCTCTCTTAAGTCATGAGGGTGGCTGACCTCCGTGGGTCCGGCAGCTGGGGGGTGTTTCTCTGCTTCTGGGAAACAGTTTGTTGGTCTGCATCAGCTAGATCAGAAGTTCTGTTGCAAAACCTGAAAACAGAATCACCCAGAAACAGATTTATTTTTTATGGCATTCCTATTGACAGCAGCTTATTGGTACGTTGGCTTTTTGTTTTTTAAGTCATGCTTCTGCTGGTTTCCCAATTTTCTATTCATAAGCACTTTGTGCTTTTAATAGTATTGGTAGTGTGCAGAACAGCGAGCACTTGAGCTTTTTTGGGTATCAGTGATGACACTGATGCACTCTCGTGCAGAGTTTATAAGTTCATATTGGTATCCATACAGGACTACCACCGAGTCGATCTGCAAGACCATCCAGCTGTGTATTATCATCAGGTTCTTCAAAAAAATAAATAAATCCTGTATTTAGCCTTCTTACAGAGGCAACAAATACAACAAGAAATTGATTGTGAGATATTTTCTCCGGCTGTATCTAAATCTTGATACTGATATTTAAAGCTGACAATGGCATAAACTCAACTAGAAACTAGATTTTATTTGGAAGTGGTACAACACCTCATTCTCCTTTAGCGTGTAAGAAGGACTGGCTAAATCATTCATTTCAATATTAAATTGTTCCACTACAAACCCTCGTGTTTCCAAGAATTCCTACAGTTTCAATTAAGAAGCCAAACTTACAAATACCATTCCTCAAGCTGAACACTTCCTTTCCCAAAGTTCAGTCTTGTCCACGTGACGTTTGCTCAAATACAGCTCCTGCATGTCTTGCTTCTGACAAACGTTACATTTTCTGTAGTTGAAATACCTCATTTTGAACATTTCAGTCTGTATTCCTTACCTGTTAACGCTATGCTTGGGGGTGGGGATCTCCATTCAGCTCTAGCTTGGCAGATTAAAGAGCACAGCAGGGCAAGGTGATTCAGGTTTGCATTTCTATTCCTTACTGTTCAGCTCCAGCATCACAGTTGAAACATGTTCTTGCCATCGCTGCCTGCTCGACAAACTGTCAACACCTTTACTGCTCCGTGTTTAATTTAGAACACGCTGCCTGCAAGACACCAATCTGTTGCTACACGTACCTGTGCAAGATACGCTTTTGCCCTGGAACTGGATCTACTTTATGCCAACATAACATGCCTGCTGTTCCTTTCTAATACAGTCCACTTAGGTAGTGTCCAGTAAAACATGGAGCTAGAGCTGTTCCCTGTAGCCTGCGTGAAGCTGAAGGATGCTATGTGATAAGTGTGCCTTTATGAAAGGGAATGGGGGTACTGTGCTGAGTATATTTTTAACAGCTGAATGAAATTGCACTTTTTTTTTGCAGCTATAAACTTGCTGTTTGGAGTAGGGAGTGGCACAGTATTTGCTCAGCATTTACATAGGGAATAAACTGCTAGAAACCTGCGATTGATTGTGACAACATTGGTAACTGTATAAGTATACTGTATAGGTATTTATGTCCTTCCATACGTGCTGTTACTGGCCAAAGGGTCTGTGTGCTGTGATTTTTAATAAAAAAATACTTTTGCTGTAGAGGCGACTGCTTGTTCTGCTTAACAAGTGTAACACAATGCTAGGATTGCTTAGTAATACGCAATCCCTTTTACAGAAATAGTAATTTCAGTGGCAAATCACAACAAGGAGATCTTGTCCATTGCAAACCTTGTGCAGTAGGTGAAGCCACGTTTGAATCCTCATTTGCTCTGAGATACGTATTGAGCCCATGTTGTAGCATTGAGCCCATTGAGCCTGAAGTCATAGCAAAAGAACAATCTTCACTCATTGGTCTCCATCAATTTCTGATGAAGGCATGGAGAAATGGGCTGCACCAACGAAGCTGCTGTGAAGCACAACAAACTATGCATTATTAGGACCTGGCCACCCTGTCTTTAAATTCCTGTCTCTGGGACACAGCGGGATCTCATTGCTCAAAGCCTCGTTACAAGCACAGTCATCCAATTCCACAGAAAGCTACTTCAGAAACAGTTCCAAGGCCAAACGAGTCAAGAAAGGCACAACTGCAAAGCCTTGAACCTAAGATGAGGACTTATTTTGCTACATGAAATTAGGCGTTGGAGCTCCAACGCCAACGATCCAGTTGCTGTTGAAGCGAGCATAAGGAAGAGGAGACTGACAAATAATGCAAGTCAAGGGAACTAATCCAAAGCACACCGCCCAGGTCATCTACCAAACCAGATAGACGTTGGGATTTCCGCCAGTTATCGAGCAAGTTGCCTAAAAATAGGATTTATGGATCGCAGAAAAATAGAGGAGCAGTCAGTGTCCAAGGGCAGGCAGGGTTTTGTTTCACAAGGCAAACACTCCAGCTCGGGGTGAAGGGACTGCTGCTGGACCACACAGGGAGCCTGCAGAGGCTGAAGCTGGAAACGGCTCCCCTGGCTCATCCAGAAAGCTGCTGCCTTCCCCTGGCTGAGGAGAAAGCTGAGCAAGTCTTAATGCACAACCAGTTACTGTGAGTTCTTCCCTTTGCAGTGAGGCACGCCAGAACCCTACAGATCCATCTGATTTTCATCCTGCTTGTGGCAGCAGAACTGAGCCATCCAACATCACTTTCTTACAGCAGCTTTACCTCCATCAGTAGCTTCCCCCTGGACATTTAAGGCACTCTCTGCAGACTATCAGAGAGTTACACTGGCAGCTGTCAGCCCCACAGCCACAAAGCAAGCCCTTTGGGTTGGCTCTCCATCAAACGCTGGGGTTATTTGCCCCAAACAGGCACTCACAGCAGGAGGGAAGCAAACAAACAGGGCTGAGGTGACCCCACCTGCTGACTGCCTGCAGCCAACGCACAGCACCTGGAACTCCAAGCAAGATTTCAGAGAGATTTTCTCATAATTCAGGCCTCTGGAACAGAAACTACACATCATGTTTCCTCTAAATGCAAACCCAGCTCTTTCACAAGAGCTCAGCTAGAGGAACACCACTCCAGGCCCACCATCTGAGCCCAAGCCC